AACTGGCTAGCCCGTGCTATTTTTACCGTTCTCAATGGCCTTCAAAGTCCATTAGCATCATCCATTAGTTATCCACAACTTATGTTCGGCCCAAGCCCTTTTCGTCTCTCTTCGACCTCTTTTTCGTTCGGAGTTTTGGCATGGTATGACAATATACCCATATAATTAGCAGAAAAAGCCCTACTTATAAATATTTGCATCAGTTAGCCAATAAATATATATCGCAACAAAAAACATATGTATCACACTTTATATTTACTTCTTTGTGTATATCAAAATGTATATTAAATTTTTATTTTCATTCTTTGTTTATCTAAAATATAAAATTATAAATATAGTTATTTAAAATTTACTGTTGTCTCTATATCAATATATGTCACAATAAAAATAAGTATATACTTTATATATCGCAGTGTATAACACATAGAATATGTGTATACCAAAATAGGTATCACAAGTTTATTTTCCTTCTTTGTGTATATCAAGAATTTATTTTCCTTCTTTTGTATATCAAAATGTATATCAAAAAATTATTTATTGTCACAACTTGCTCTAAACATGTTATACCAAAATTTATTTTCTTTCTTTGATCAAGAACAAAATTGAAGTAAGTTTATACAAAATGAATTTCGCCCTCTCAAAATCAAATTGGATAATTTTACCTTATAGTGCCACTATCTAATAATGTATATCACGATATATAATATATTATACACATAGGTATACATGGTGATATATATATAGATGTACACCATCTCAAACACATATTTTTTTTCCACAATTAAAAAACGAGGAAAAGAAATTGGAATCTGCCTCTTGAAAAAGAAAGAGAAGAAGAGAGAATGCCTCGGAGTAGAGCCTATTTCCATCTGTAATTCATGTCATATTTCCATCTGTAATTCAAGTCATAATAGTAGTATTAAGGTCATTGACTGAAAACCCCAATGAAGTGGTCTTGCTGTGTTTTTTGAACTTGTGGCTAAAAAATTCTCTTCCCTGGCTGTGTCTGTGTGTATTTCATCGTTTAAGGATCTAATGGTATATTCAACAAGCTTTTCAATGGAATATATTTTAATAATTTGAATTGCTGATTGATTTGTTTGAGAGAGGTCAGTTAGTTGATGGAATTTTTTTGTGCATCTACTAATGTTGTTTTTCGTTTTACTTGATCCAGACTGTAATGGTGCAGTACAACTTTAAAAAGATTACGGGGAGAGAAAAGAAGAAGAGATTGAAGAAGAAATAGGGGAGAGAAGAGATACGGGGAAAGAGAATAAATAAAGAACTAGGGCTGTTGCGCAGTAGCAGCCAGACTTTTAAAGAAACTGATTACTTCAACCAAACAGCCACACCAATTCACATGCTCAAGCAGTCATAGGACCTCATTAACCTTATGTTGAAGCTAACCAAAAAGCATCTCTTCGGCCGGATCATAAGCTTTAGTCAGGAAACTGACTCAAGTTCTCTAGTATAGCAATGCAGAAACAAAACTAGAATTTGTACACAGTACAAAGGGTAAGATTCCTGAATGAATCAAGATCTAAGTTGCTCGGACACAGACACAAATCTAGAGGTCGGATGCTTCGAGATGTAAATTCTAAGATTAGGGGATACGGATCCTATTACGGATACGGGCGCGGACATCCGGCTACAAATATTTCAAAAAATAAGAATATAAAAATATGAGAAATTTTGTAGAATACGTATAGCTTGTATAGTATGGATTTCTTGTTTATTCTCAAGTTGTAGATAAGTAAAAGATTGATTTCCTAGATAAGGTATTTTCTTCAAATTTACCCTAGTTTTGGTTCTGTTTTCGGGAATCAAATTGTATCTCGTCTCGAAATTTTTCGTCCGTCATGGTCAAAGTACACAATTATTTGACCAGACCCGATACGGTTCCCATGCCCACACCCATACTACCGTCGTGTCGACACCAGTGCGTAGACCAAGATACATGCGAGTCCACGAAATAACCTCTCGGCTTGATTTGTCTTTAGAGCCTTGTGGATATTTCCTGCTGAGCAATCACAATTAATGATGGTATTTTAAAGCACTAGTTTGTAACAAACCTCTTGTTTGACATCTCTTTCAACACACGCTCAGCTTCATTATATTTCTCACGTTCAGCAAACAATCGATAAGCATGTATACGTGACAATCTTTGGCTTTGTACAATCTAATATTATTGCTTCCTTCAAAAGGAATTCATCTTCCAGATTCCCTATTTTGCAAATCCCATGAATGAGGCTATTATAAGAGGCAACATTTGGCACGACACTCAAGTTTTCTATCTCTCGAAACAACCCCTTCTCCTCATCCACCCTTCCTCCTTTACAGAAAGCATGTTCAGTGTGAAGAAGTACACCTATGGTTTAACACCATATCTCAACGGAAGGTTGCAAGTTTTCAATGAGGGAAACCAACCCATACATGTCAACGACACCGGACACCAACCATCTACGTGCTTCCTCGTTAACTCAGCCACAAAATTATTCACGAGCCTACTATTAAAATCTTCCCCACCCAAATAGGTATTCCCAGCAGTGGCTTTCACCTCAGAAATCCTTTGATAAATAGTCAAGATAGACACATCACAAATATAGCTTTCTAAATAAAAAACAAGAACATTCTGCTCACCTTTCATTGAACCTTCCATGTTCAAACCATAGGAACATCTCTCTGTTGTCCACTTTGCAAGAACAGGTGCATACAATTCTCTTACAATATCAAACAACTGTTGTTGATCTCACTTCAGAGAAGTAACATTATTCACAGTATAGTCTGGAAGCCATTGGTCCATCGGTAGCATTAAACACTTTCACTGTCACGCTCCCTGTGCACCTTGCAATTGCAAAGGAGCCTTCTTAATTCCCAAAAGCATCAATCGTCTTGGTTCATCAAATAAGAACCCAATGACATGTCCATCAGTTCCACAATCAGGTTTGCAAGAATAAGGATAATCTTCAGAGTGAGCATGAAATTTGCATGGTGGCTGAATAGATCCAGCGGTGGCCAACAGATGATTGGTCCCTGCTCATTGTCCCACACTGCCAGGTAACAACCCAACGAGCCCGCTCCACCATCTGAAGAACAAAAGAAGAGTGTTTACAATCACCTTCTTTGTATCTCCAATTAACCACGAAACCGTATTTAGCTTGCAAGTGCATCTCCTTTTTGCAAATCTGAACTTTATCCATATTAAGCTTCTTCTTTAGCACCTTGCAGTAAATGTTGTACACACTCTTATAACTGTTGGGTTTGTTATTTAATAAATAATAACAAAAGAGGTGTGAATGGAAAATGGTGGGAAAAGAAATGGAGGGATGACCCGCGACCCGGTCCCGTCTAGCCCGTTTTTCTTTCCCGGATTAATTTAAATTCGTTTTAAATTTCCCGCAAAAATTTCCAACAGTCATGGCTGCTCTGAAACAGTGTCACACCTGTTCCAACAGCCATGACTATTCTGAAAAGTTGCAAACCTCTTCAGAGGGTCACACCTGTTCCAACAGCCATGACTGTTCTGAAAGGTTGCAAACCTCTTCAGAGGGTCACACCTGTTCCAACAGTCATGACTATTCTGAAAGGTTGCAAACCTCTTCAGAAACATCACCAAGTTGGCTATAAATAGACCTTCAAATCCCAGAATATTTACTTACGAAATTTTCTGATTATCTTCTTCTTCTGCACTAAAATTCCAGTGTGTTTTGCTGCCATCGAGTGGTTCGCTGATCATCGGCGTTTTTGGTACCAACACTCCGGTGAGTTAAATCGTTCTATCCTGGGAGGATATATTCCATAACCTCGGGTACTTGAGGGGAATAATTTCCTTAAGGACACACTGTGTATTCAGTGGGCTCGATTTGTTCCTTCAACGTTTCAAAAATTATTTTGAAGTTCGAATATTATTTTTCAGAACTGTTTCTACTAACTTTCTGTTTATTTTTCAGAAAGATTACTGTTTTATTTACTTACAGCAATACAGATAAATAACAATAACGTCCTGAAAGAACATGATAATTGGAGGATGGAATTGGCACCACATAGGCTTGATAACCATGAAAAATCAGAAATGACTCCTCAGGAATAAACGGACTAATCGACAGATATGGGATAGCCTAAAATATTGTAAAACCCATGGGATATTTTGGCACCATGAAACAAGGAACCATTTACCTGTCCCGTGCACCCACTTTCATTTGTGTAAGCCAAAGGCATGTAGAAGCGAATAGCTCTACTAGGACCACGAAATTTTGTAAACCTTTCCCTGTTCGACCTTGCATCGACACCTGGCGGGCAAACTTCATGGAAAGCAGTTGATCAAAATCAGGAACCCACCAATTGCAACCACCAGCCCCCAAATTTGCAGCAACAAAGTTCTGAAAATTGGAAGACTCCATTGTCACCAGGCAGATCAAGTAACTGGGAGAAATAGAGATAACTCCTTACAAATGAACAGCTTAAGCCACTGGTTGTCAGTCTGGTAAGAACTTTCATAACACTTGCCTTTAATCTGAGATAGCCTTTGTCGCAGAGTACCACCTTGTGGATTCTGGATTTCAAAAAAACAAGCTCCTCAGCCAAAGTGTCGCCACCAGCAATATCCACTGGTGAAGGCATTGTTGTGCAATGGCGAAGCGCTCGATCGCAGTACTCTAGGTGCTGTCAAAGAATATCTTGTCCACAGGGCTTGAATATCCTTCAACCAATCCAAAGTCAAGCTCTCCAATACACTCCTTCACATCACTGGCAGTTGTATCGTCCACTATGGCCTCCTGCATCACTGTTAGTTGCTAGCCTGCACGGCTGGACATGCAGGAAAGATAGAGCTGGATGCCGCACAGTTGCTTAGGCATAATCGGGTAATTTTCTTGCATCTTCAGTAGCAAGCCAAGATTGCTGGAGATTCGAGTGTTTACCATTGGATAAAATTGGAGATAATTCAAATCCATGGAGTCTGGATCTATGAAAACTCCAAATGGAATGAACTGCAGCTCAAATTTAATGGAACACAAAGGGAAACAGATTTTATTGATAACTCAAAGAAAATTACAAAGGAAACTGATAAAAAGTACAATAAGGAAAGCAGAACGGTGATGAGAAGACTTAGAAGAACAGGGATGAGAAATCAAAACTTGCTCAACAAACTTCTTGCCTACTCCACTATAATGGCACTGTGTTATTAACTAACCCCACCCTCTACAATCTTTTGACAGAGCTAAGCCCTTAACCTGGATCGCAAGTATATTATGTGAGCCCCTGTGATGGTTTCTTAATTCTTTTGCTTCTTCTCAATGGCCTTCTAAGCGCACCAGCATCATACTGTCCTGTTTTCCAGGTTCCATGCGCCCTTTTGCAGGATGCTAAGTTAATATTGACGGCACATCATGGACTGGGTGGCCTTTCTTGTTTCTTTCCATTATCCTTCGAGCAAGAGAAACTTGCTTCCCAACGGCAAATATGAATGCCTTTCCTTTTCCACCAGCACCCCTGGCAGTTCTTCCAACACGACGTACATACTCGCTAGGGTCTCGAGGATAATCAAAGAGGACCACATGGTCTACACCTTCAAAGTCGATACCTCGGGATGCTCTGCAACATTGTTTAGAAGACATCAATTCAGATCTCTTGTCCCTTTTTCTTGTTGATTAGCGAGGAAAACAACTTAAGCACGTCATCGAACTGACACATGAATAACTATATGAAAAAATCTAAAAAGGAGTTTGCTACAGAATACCTGTCGGTGCACACCAAGAACAAAGAAATGTTCTCCATCTTTGAGCGGCGAAACTCCTCCATGTTTGCAAGTCTCCTTCCTTGGTCCAGTGCAGCATGGAAGGGTAAAATTTTTATGGAGAATCCTTTCCTGTCAAATCGCTTTAATGCATTCTCAACTTTTCTGCAGATATCAATCTGCATATGCATGCAGGAATGAGAACTGTCATATATGCAAACCAAGAATAATAAATATACTTGCAGAAGAAACTAAATCTTATTCACCTTGTTACAGAAGACAATTGTTTTTGGAACTGGGCTATTCTCCACCAGATGAAGTAGGGCATTCTTTTTATTGATAAAAGCTGTGTCCAGACTTTTTTCAGCTGTTTCATCTCCGCTGCAATCTACAAGGAACTGGTAGTGCGAAAACAGAGCATCAGTGCCATAGTTATGGAGACATGACACGACTCTTCTTATAATATAAAAAAAGACATGATATGACTCTATGCCCACATTGGTGTTTTTATGTGTATCCATGGAAGACGCTTCTCACCTTTTGAACAGAAGGTAGTGAGGCTATTTCAGTATAACGAAGCAAGAGTTGAGGCTCTAAAATGCAAGAAGGACAAGACACAAAATAAAGACTTAACGTAGTCTGTTAGATGGTCTGACTGCTAAAATGTCTACCAAATAGCTAGAAGGACTGACTGGATGGCAGATCCATTAGAGTGCCCCTGATTGGAAGGATGGAAATATATTTGTAAATCTTGTCCAGCTACAGAGGAATGAGAGTGGAGACTACATGTAACCATCAAACTAGAACTTCACCTCAAACAATGACCTTAGGAAGGAGTCTTGTACGTTCATGCTATCACATAATATGTCATTAAGCATGGGAGTTGTATAGTTGAAACAGCTAAAATTAACTTGTATATTGTGGTTGTCAAATGGTAAATAATGCATTAGCATCAAATAGACAGAAAAGAAAATCTCCCACATTGTCATATACTTAGGATGTTGGTAGCATAAGGTAGACTATATGCTACCTCTCTTCCAACGTGTATCTATCAGCTAAGTTGCTCGGAAACGGGTGCGGGTGTCCGACACGGGTGCGGATCTAGAGGTTGAATCCTTCAAGATGTAAATTCTAAGATTCGGGGATCCGGCTAAAAATAATTCAAGAAAATAAAAATATAAAAATATCTATAAATTATGAGAAATTTTTTACGAATACTTGCGTATAGCTTGTAAAGTGTGGATTTCTTTTTTAGTCTCAAGTTGTAGATAAGTAAAGGATTGATTTCCAAGATATGGTAAGCTATTTTCTTCCCTAGTTTTGGTTTTGATTTCGGGAATCAAATTGTATGTTGTCTCGAATTTTTCCGTCCGTCGTGGTCAAAGTACCCAAAATTGTTTGACCAGATCCGGTACGGATCCCATACCCACACACATACTAGTGTCGTGTCGACACGGATGCAGCACCTAAATCTCCGTGTCGGAACAACTTAGATTTAGAGTACCAGCATAGTTTTCTTGTTTGCATTTGAACTTTTGTAATTATCACATACAGAAATTTCTTTTTATTTTTTTGACATGGTTCGAAACTCGGTGAATAATGGGTCCACCCCTCTACCCTTCTTCGCTTAAGTACCGGGCTTTTGTCTGCAGCATGGTTTGAACTTGTAATGTGCGTCTTATCACACAACACGAGCCCGATTTAAGACTTCAAAATCATGCTCCCTCGATTTTGACCGTATACAGATAGTTCCCGCGTTTCTTAGAATGGAATGATATGAAACAATTTCGACCTTGATTTTCTCGAACCTCTAGTTATGACGTCATCCTCGTGAAGCTAACATTCGAAGTGACAGAAACGTCCCGTCGGCCCGCTTCCCCAAAAACATTAAATGTACGCCAGCGTGGGTCGGCCATTAACACCTTCAAACCGCCGCTTCCCCTCTATAAATATGAGGCGCTTTCCTTTGGTAAATAACTTCACCTTTCTTCAATCTCTTTCAGTCCCCATCTTTTTCTTCAATCACTTGTTTCCTCCGCCTCTTTAAACACCGTAAAATACCAAGCTCTTGCCGGAAACACTACGTCCTTGTTTACTCACATTCCTTATCTCACAACAATGGCCAAAACTACCAAGACGGTCCCTAAAAAAGATAAAGCATCATCTTCCTCCGCCTCTCGGCCGGCCAAACCGATGGTGCCGCCGACACTTGAAGAGATCACCCCTAGTGATTGCATTATCAAGAAGGACTTCGGTATCGAGAATCCTCTAAATGTCGAGGGCCGATGCGAGCATGTATCACGATATATAGCCTGATAACCAAGCAGCTCATCAAGGACGTGAAGGAGGATTGTCGATGGGGTGACGAGGTCAGGGTTCAGATCCCGAGGCCTGATGAAAGCATAACTACCCACAAGGAGGGGGTTTTCAGTGTTTACACTTACCCCTTTACACCGGGCCCCCTCGATCCGGCGGTGATCGACTTCTGCACTCTCATATTGATATTCTTTTCCTCCTAGTATGGAAAAAATTTGTGAAAAATTTCAATATTACTAGGATATGGACCGAGAAACAATACCTCCATAGAACGCAGGTTGCAATTATTAAATTGTTGCCATAGAGTGAACAAAGAAAATGATATAGTTTTAATTGCGGAAAAACTATCAGAAGGTAAAGCAAAGACAAAGATAAGAATATGAGTAGGAGAGATGATAAATCTAACATATCAAAAGCAACAGGTATTAGAATTACGGATTTCCCTTGAACGAAGGGATGTTGTCCTCAACAAAGGACTCAAGCATCCAAGATCAAGGGAAAAATAAATCAAGACTCGAAGAGCGTCTGAGTTGAAGATTATTTTGTTCGTAGTGTGGACTCTAAATTCATTGTTCGTGAGAACCATCCAAGTGTTTGTGGCGAATAAGTCAAACACAAATTCAAGACGAAGATTCGAGATCAAACTTTTCAAGCCCTTGAATCGCAATCAAAGTCGAACTCAATATATCTAATATTCTTCTTGAGAAGAATCAGAAGAGACTAGAGAGAATAGAGATTGCAACCTTCATTGCATATTGAAATCGAATATTATAATTTGCAACATTTTTCTTGTCTTGATTATTTTCAGGCACAAAACTTGTGTTTACATATATTTTGGATTACCACAAACTATTTCAAGACCTATACATATCCACACAATCAGAATAATGAAAAAGAGCAAAGAATTCTTTATCATCCAGGACAATGAAGACAATCATTAGAAGAACTGCATAATAACCAAAGAATCATCCAACGTCACTCCTGTTTAATTTATCTCTTTTTCATTTTGTGCCTTTTGTACCGGCATAGAGTGCTGCAATGCAAACCACCTAAACTTTTATTCCATGTAGCTACTTCCATTTGTTCATTGATGGGACCTTTGAGATTCAATCATAAACCAATTTCTCATAAACAACCCCCCCCCCCCCATTGTTGTGTATTCGGTCTTGTTGAATAAAATGCAAACGAAATGACTTACTAGCCACAGTATATCCCCGACACAACCTACACTCACAAACGATAGTTGTTTAGAAATTGAAAAAAAAATTGAGACGAGAATGTAATGATACGTAAAGTAAAGAAAGGTCAAATTTTCTCCCTATCAGATAGGGCAAACGGAAAAAAAAAAATGGATGGTTCTTTCATCCCACTGATAAAAGTCTAACTAGAAAAAGAATCTATTACTTTGAGAAGACAATTGTTGGTTTATCCTAAACTGTTCTTGATGACGATATATTGATAAAATAATTGATCACGTCAAAAATCTTGTCTCTTTTTCATAGACAGTAATAACAGGGCTAGTTCTCACTGCTAGCATATGAGGTTAATCACTTACACAGAGATCAAGATCTCACTTCATAAAGGCAAGAGGAAACCCTGGAAATAAGTGTATTGTAAATAATGTACCAAGGCAATCTAAGCAGAAATTACAATTAGATATATCCTACAGCTTTAACAATAACATCTGTTTCAACTTTTCCTAGGAATCCCGGGGATTTAATTCTAGCCGGAAACAATCAACCTTTTTAAGGTGCTCTTATTAGCAAGCTTATGCAAAATATTAGGGAACAGATTTGACAAGAAAATAAGGCAACAATTTTCCACTAGGTAAATTTGTACTGGTTTGACAGGAGCGAAATAAGAAATACCTCTTCCAAGCCAGGGCTTGTACGGTGCATACCAGGACCACTTACTAGTTCACAATCAGGAAAACTTTCTACCAGCTTGTTGTATATGTCCATGGGCAAAGTTGCAGTCACAAATAGATACTGTGTGGTGATTGGTGAAGAGTTAATCAAACATTGAAATGCAGTCTCAAAATCCTCATCGCTAAAAAGGATATCAACCTCATCCAGCACAGCACTGAACAAAGATAAACATGAAGTGTTACAACTGTATAAGCAACTGATATATAATATTCTCAGTTTCTCGTAAAGAAGTATCTCAATCCAGAAAAAAGATATGTAACCTAAGTGTGTTTTCCAGCAGTTAATGAAGCTAATTGAACCACAAGACCAGGATTCAAATCTGTAACGACCCAACCGGTCATTTTGAATTTTTGCCTCCAAACTCTTGATTTGGAACTTTCCGTTCCTTTTATGTTTTACGACTTGTGGGTATGGGTGGTTTGGACCCCGAAATGCTCGAAACATTATCTTGCTATCCGAAAGACTTGAAACATTATCTTGCTATCCGAAAGGTCAAAAGGCGTATGAAGCAATTTTACCCCTCGCTTCTAGTAATATCATTTTGGTTCATGTTTTGAAGTTCCCAATAAGTTTGTATGATGTTTTCGGACTTGTATTGATGTGGGAGGCTGGGATCTGGTTTTACAGCAACGCATCGACTCCCCTGACCATAATCCAGGAGGTGTTACAGCAGGCTTCAGTAGCAAGCCCCACTGAAACAAAGTTCAGTGTGGGCGGAGGCATCAGCTAGACATCTTCGAACACATTCCAGGTTCTATCTTCCTTTGTCTTTATATATTTTGATTTATTCTGTATCTTGTTGTCATTATATATTTTGATTTTATTCTGTATCTTTCTTTCTCTTTATATATTTTAATGTATTCTGTATCGTTCTTTGTCTTTGTCATTTACAACGCATTCACTTGCATCAATTACTTGCTTTTTTGTAGTTGCTTTCTACTAATGCCTTAAGTTGCAGACTATATTCTTTTAGTAACCTTGTTGCGTGTTGTAATAGTACTAGCTTAGAATCTGTGAGAAAAATCTATTATTGATATTCTGTTTAATTACTATTATTGAATGCATGGGAGGATGAAGATTGGGAGACACAAGTCACGCTATCACCTGATTAAACAATGGAAGCTATCTCTGAAGATGTATGTTTAGAAACTTTGTACTGAAGGAACTCAATATAATTCGGTAGAGAAACCATCCAACTATTCATAGTATTGATGAAACTTAAATGAACAGACTCTCAGAATAACCTCCTGAGTATCTTTCCAAAAGAAGCTTCGTAGGAAAAATCACTGTAGCCGCCAAAAAATCAGTGTAGTTGCCGAAAAAATCTCAAAGTGATCGGAATAAAAAGAAAAAGGTATGGCTAGGCTCGGAATTACTAGGCGATCACACTATTCAATAGAAACTTTTCCAAAATCTGGTCGGAACAGGGTCAGATCTCGCCAGAAAATTTCTCCCTTTTCCGGCACGTGGGAAGGTGTTTTCTGGTGGTGGGGTTGACTGGGGTTTGGTCGCCCGAGCCTGAGGAGTCTTGTGTGGTGTTGGTTTTTGCACAACACCAATGGAAAGTGAATTTGTTGCACACAGCCTCTTAAGCCGCCGGAAAATTGCACAGCGACGAAGTCTTTCTTTCCAAAAGTCGCTGGAATGATGCACCGTGATAAGTTCCTCACCAATGCTCCGATACCATGTGAGAATGGACGGGAGAAAAATCTATTATTGATATTCTGTTTAATTATAATACAATGAGTCATATTTATACAATACATATCATACTCCTATTCTATGTGGGACTAGGACTAATTCATATTATTTACATAACTATCTAACAGTATCCCTTAGAATATTGTGGTCGGGGCGAGTGATGGTAGAGTGAGGTCACGTCCTTGGGTGGGGCAAGGGCGGGGGGCAAGGGTGATAAGGGAACCGCTAGGCTAGGGATTGGGTCCTGGAATATAGGACATTGACGGGGAAGTCTTTGGAGTCGAGGAAGATTCTCCAGAAAAGGAAGATTAATATAGTGTGTGTAAAGGAGACTAGATGGGTGAGTACTAGGGCACGGAAAGTTAACAAGTTAAAATTGTGGTATTCAAGAGGTGCTAGGGACAAGAACGGGGTTGGTATTTTAGTTGATAAGGATCTCAGGGAGCTAGTGATAGATGTTAGGAGAGTGAACGATAGGCTGATGACTATTAAGCTAGTGGTTGGTGGGTTCGCTTTAAACGTGATTAGTGCATATGCGCCTCAAGCGGGCTTGGACGAGGAGGTCAAGAGGCACTTCTGGGAGAATTTGGACGAGGTGGTTCGAGATGTCCCGCTTACCGAGAAGCTTTTCATAGAAGGTGATTTTAATGGCCATATTGGGGAGGCTGCTGGGGACTATGACAATGTGCATGACGGGTTCAGCTTTGGAGGTAGGAACGAGCCAGGAATTTCATTGTTGGAGTTCGCTAAAGCTTTTGATTTGGTGATAGCTAACACGTGTTTTCAGAAGAGGGAAGACCACTTGGTCACTTTCCAGAGTACGGTAGCCAAGACTCAGATTGATTACCTTCTCTGCAGGAAGTATGATAGAGGCATGTACACTGATTGCAAGGTTATCCCGAGTGAGTGTCTATCGACACAACATAGGCTCTTAGTAATGGACTTGGAGATTAAGAGAAAGAAGAAGAAGAGAGCGGTGTATGGTCAACCCAAGATCAAGTGGGGAGCCTTGAAAAAGGAATTTTTCACATCCCTGTGTATTCGTTTTGGTCTATCACATGTTATTGTTTTTCTTACTTTATCTAGTAGCGCTTAGCATAACTATTGATGTGAAAGACTGCATTCTTACTTAGCATCTCCATTGCAATATGAAACTTCCAGAATAGATATCGAATTAACTGAAGGATAATATACAATTACTACAAAAGATACAACACCCAGATATGCTAGCCATTGGTGAATGGTGATTCTACGGTTTTTTTGTGATTTAAGACTACTACTTTCAATCCAAAGTTCATCAGACCTTGCCTAACAAACAAGAGAGTAAATATATCCACAATGCCAATACAAACCCCCCCCCCCCCCCCCCCCTTCCTTAAAAGTGAGAGAACTGGACAGATATAGTAAAGACCTTAAAATGCAAGAAACTGTAAAAGAGTTTTAACTACTAAAAGAAATGTAATACTACTTGAGGCTAGTTTAACAGTTTTAACTATTCAAGGAAAATGTTAATACCACTTGAGATTAGTTAACTGCAGGTAGCCCTCTTTGATAAGAAACATAAACCGGCCAGGAGTTGCTATAAGAATGTCTAACTCCTGTCTTAGGTTCTCCAATTGAGTTCTCTGGCGAAAACCACCAGTAACAACCATAGAATGGAAAGGAACACCAGATTTCGAAAATGAGCGGCAGGTACTTAGGACCTGCAAAAGTTGCAGGAGAAGAGTAAGTTTTTCTTCTTTTCTTTTTGACGAGTGAAATACAGCTAAGAATGAAAGTTCTTACATATCAAAAATCACAATCCAAGTTTCACCATAGTCGATGCAAAACAGAATGTGTGATGAGGCCTTGAACTAGAAAAAGAAAGACTTAACTACGGAGGAAAGTGAAAGAACAAGCATGCAAACAAGCAATTAACCCTTGGAAGAGAGATTCAATGAAACCAAAAAATGTCAAACTACAGACAGAAGATCCTTTCATCGTACAAAAAATAAGTAAGAGCCAAGCCAAACAGAGTACTAGCTGGTTGAGACAATACATCTGAAATTGCTAGCTTCACATTTTGGGAAAAGAGGAACTCTGATGTCAAAATCATCAACAAAATTCAAATGTAAAATTCTACATTGAGATCTCGATCAACTTGAACTGGCAGGAGAAAATAATTGGGGTGATAAACCATGGTGAGTATTATAACTTCTGTAATTTTTGATAATCTCATGTGCTTTCTCTTCAAAGCATAGACTTACAATCAAACACATACTCTAGATGTACAAACAACTCTGTCAAGTACTGTTATTTTAACCCAGTAAGTGGGGCTGAAAGAGTTAAAATTTACCTATTAAAAAGAATGAGAAGGAAGAAAAAGGTGAAACAATGCCAGTGGTGAAAGAATCAAGGCTTAATCATTAGAATGGTCTGAAACCAAGGAAGGAATAACCAGACATTTCGAGATTCAGGTGCTAACCAGACACAATAAACCGATGCATTATTTTTTTGATAAAGTAATAAAATATCATTAATAAAGAGCATAAATGCCCATATACAAGAAGTATAGCAAAAACAGAGAATCTCACAACATAATATGATTCTCTACAAGAGCCACCCAATCTTCTATGCTTAAAGGAATCTCATGGGTACACCAAAACATAATAAGAGAAAAGAGATTATTCCTCAAATGTACAAAGCCCTTCTCTACCCCATCAAAAGCGCTCCTATGTCTCTCTCCAAATGATCCACACGAGTGCTAGTGAAGCGACATCCCATGCCCTGCGCCTTCTTCTCCACCCTCTAGATTTTTAGCTGAACATTACTTCTTTAACCGTGCCAGTGGGTCCAGGCATCACCCCGCTGAACTCCAAACCAACTCAACACTTCTCCCCACAAGCGAGATGCAACATGACAATGTAAGAAAAGGTGATCTACATCCTCTCCCGAGAACTTACACATGAAACAACAATTGACACATGCAACTCTCCTATTCGTCGTGTTCTCAGCCATTAGAATCACCCCTCTCGTAGCTAGCCTTGCAAAAAAAAAATACCTTTCTCGGTACTCTAGGGATCCACAATGAACAATAAGAAAAAGTTGCTTCCTCTCTACCCAGAAGTACACTGTAGTAGGACTCGTAGTAGGGACTTTAACAGAAAGAACACCCCTATTCCCACCCTCCTTCTCCAACCATCATTGCTAATCTGTGAAGCATTCTGCTTATAGAGAAACTCCATCAATCCCTGTAATTCTACGAACCCCTAGTCTTGCAAGTTTCTTCTAGACCTCAAACCCCCAATGCGTTTCTCCCCTTTCTATCCTCCTTATGCTTTGAATTGACATCTTCCTTTGGCATGATATCTTGTACATTTTAGGAAAAGTGATACTCAAAGTGTTACCTCCACACCATTTATATCCCCAAAAGCTTACTCTACTACCATAACCCCCCCTCAAAGATATATTCCAAAAATAATTTGTATTCGAGTCTCCTTCTTCCAACATTGTCTCATATTCACTCGTTACAACACCACCATTAAGCCATCATCGTAGAATCTGGAAAAGGAGTCACATGAATTTCCATAGCCAATGAATTTGAATTGCTTCCCCCTAAATTCACACCTAGTTGAGATTCTTCATCAAGATTTTGTACCTGTGGGACAATAATAGCATCTCCGGCCAAAGAATTCTCATTCTCATTCTTAGGGATGAGTTGAGAGGTAAGTTTGAGCACCTTCAGCAGGATCGCATGACTGACCTATACTTGGAATAACTGCAATCTTATCGGCAGTTGAATTTCTTAAATCCTATTGAATCGGTAAATGAATTTCTAAGAGGATTAAACTTTATTCCTTAAATCATTAAAAGAGAATTGGCTTCTAATGGGATAAATGTTCCCCGTAAAATTCTTAATTTGCTGTTTGAGCATGTATTTCTATGTGTACCTACGTCGCATGCATGGTATGCGAGCAGGGTGATTGTTTGTTTAAATTTGACCGCGTCGCATGTATGATTCGCGAGCGGAGTAATAGATGCATCTATGGTTCGGGCCGCTCGACCCTCGGCAGTGCACATTTTACATTTATGTTGGATCGGGCCGTACGACCTCGGCATGAGTTGCGCATGTTTGAATTGCTTGTCTTGAGATTTATTGATATCGCCAACTGCTCTCCCAGACTTGAGAAAATTGTTAATTAATGAATTATGAATCCGGAGACTTTAAATAAAGAGGAATTTTTACCTGTTTAGTAATTCGTTTGAATCTACTGCTGTCCCTAAGAAATTCGTGAGTCATCGCTTTAACACTATTATTATTTGACCATTAGTAAGTGTTGAAGTTGCCATCTCGTCTCTACTTCTTCGAGATTAGGCAGGATACGTACTGAGTACACGTTGTTTTTGTACTCACACAACACTTCTGTGCATTTTCGTTGCACATGCATCTCTAGAGGCCTAGTGGGCGTAGCAGCAGGGTTGACACGGAGACTAGGTGAGCTGTATTTCCTCGAGGCGACCCGCAGCTAGTATAGTCTCTCTCAGGATTCTATTTATTTTATGTCCAATTGTATTCCGGACAGCTTTGTACTTTATTCGATTTTTCTTAGAAATTGCTCATGCACTTGTGACACCGGGTTCTGGGATGGTTATGAAGTATTTTGTATTAATTGCTCTTCATTTAATTTGAATTAAAGCGAATTATCTTTTTAATTGGTAAATTTTGAAGGAAAACATAGATTTCAAGAGTATTTAAAACGAAAATTTAATTAAGTATTTTGGTTGGCTTGCTTGACAGCGGTGTCCGGCGCCATCACAACCTTAGTGTATTTTGGGTCGTGACAACATGGTATCAGAGCACTAGGTTCCTAGGGTCTCACGAGTCATGAGCAAGTCTAGTAGAGTCCCGCGGATCGGTACGGAGACGTCTGTACTTATCCTCGGGAGGCTGCAGGAGCGTTAGGAGTACTTCCCTTCTTGATTCCTTATCGTGCGATTTGATCCCTGGAGGCTTATGCCTTTAATTCCTTCCTATTCAATCTTATGCGACGCAAACCGCTGGTTATGAATCGAGTATTGCAGGATTGTTATGGTACTACCGATGCAGTGCGGGGTGTTTCTCCCTGCATAGTTGTTTGAGCTATTATCGTCGCCTTGTGGAAGGATATCCTGTTGTTTCAGCTCAGTAGCGGTACTTCTGAGAGCTCTGAGGCTAGGCACAAGTTGCCATGATGCTATAAATGATCGTTCCGCAGTATTGAAATAATGGTAGGACGTTTGCCTACGTGTCGGGGCAGTGAATGACTTGAAGGGAGGTTTACTCAGTGCATAATCTAGAGATTCAGTATTTTATTCCCAGCAGGGGAAAGGCAATCGGACTAAGAATGGTCAGATGTGGGCTGGTGGAGTAATGAGACTTGGTATTTGCGAGCGTGGTGGAGCTTTCTTCTATGATGGGGTGTCGTTGTCCTAATTGAACGTACTAAGTTCGCTGGTGTTATGATCTTCTACAATTCGCCTTTGGGGTAAGCTATTGTGAAATAGTATTGAAAATGCGGCTGTCAGATATCGCAGGGTGCGGTAGTTCAAGATTGAATCAGTGTTTCTAAGAGATTCATAGAGTTGTCTCGTCATGCTGCTATCTTGATCTCCACCGAGGCAGAGAAGGTGAGATGATTTATTGAGTGTTTGAATTATGGCATCAGGATTGCTATGGCTCGAGATTCAGGGATTCGGACTACTTTTCACCAGGACGTGGAGATAGCTCGACGTATTCGTAGCCATGGAAGAGAGGCTATGGTGAGAGATAAGAGACCTCGTCGTTCTGGTAGCTTCAGTGGTATCTCATCTGGAGGCAGGGGTCAGTTTGGTAGAGGCCATCATAGCAGGCCGACTCATTCTGCATAGCATATAGCCCGTGGAGTAGTGGCTCGATCATCTTTTAGCACTCCAGTTCCATCATCTTTCCGTGCTCTCCCAGTGAGTTCGTACCGTCCTCTGTCTATTTAGGGTTCTTCCAGCGGGTATTCAGACCACCAAGGGCAGGTTTAGATTCACCAGCCTCTGTCAGCTAGAGGTTGTTATGAGTATCGAGAGATTGGCCATATTAGAATGCGGTGCCCCAGGCTTGGTAGGGGCTTAGCTCCACAGAGTTCTCAGCCAGGGGTTCCCGCGCTAGTTGCTCCAGCCCCTACCTAGTCAGCTAGGGGAGGACATGCAGCTAGAATTCGCCCTAGATGAGGGGCCAGGTAGGTGGTAATCAGACCGGTAGTGGTCATGCTCATTGCTATGCTTTTTCGGGTAGACCAGAGGCGGTGGCCTCAGATGCTGTGATCAAAGGTATTGTTTCAGTTTGTCATAGAGATGCTTCTATATTATTCCATCCGGGGTCTACCTATTCATATGTGTCACCGCATTTTGCTCCTTATTTGGATATGCCTCGTGGTCTTCTTGATATTCCTGTTCATGTATAGGTGATTCTATTGTGATGGATCGCGTATACCGATCTTGTGTGGTTACTATTGGGGTTATGGACTAGGATTGATCTTCTGTTGCTGAACATGATAGATTTTGATGTGGTTTTGGGTATGGATTGGCTATCTCCGTATCATGTTACTCTTGATTGTCACGCTAAGACGGTGACGTTGGCTATACCGGGGTTGCCAAGGTTGGAATGGAGGGGTTCTCATGGACATACTCCTAGTAAGGTGATTTCATTCCTGAA